GCAGGGAATAAGGCATTACTGTCTCATTCCTGATGCGGCTGCGCACAGCAGGTGCCTTTTGAGCAGCACCGGGCTCTTTGGCTTTAAAAGTATTTCGACCGTATTGGATAATGCGCCGGCGGTCACGGTCAACCGTTGGGCGATCGGAGTGTGCGGTTTTTGTGGCCGACCTTTTCTAACCCGTCCTTCCTCGGGGGAAGGCAGCATCGCTGCTTCCATAGATATGGACATCCTGGTCGTCTGGGGGAAACGCCTTACTGCCTTCACACTCCTGTCGCAGGGGACAGTACGACTTTACTCCCAGACCGCCTCGTAGCACGGTTACTCGTAGTACGGAGTCTCGCTGCTCTTCATCTGGCTGCTCCACTTTGGCCTTTCTGGCATGGTTGCACCTTGTGGAACGAAGTTCCAGCCAGTGTCGCGGGCGGGATCGCTGCAGCACTCAAGCCCGACCACCACGTCAAGGTGACAGCTCTAGGTCGGGTTAGGCGAGAATGGATATTGAGTCGATAACACAGCTCTAGGTCGGGTTAGGCGAGAATGGATATTGTTATAGTCGATAACGGTTTACTCGAATTTTATATGGAACAGTTGAGTCGGACGATCAAACGATATGGGTGAGATGAAGTCCAGTTCCGTGGAGCATTTACCGCCGTAGTAGTGGCGAACTAGGCAAAGAGAGACCTTAGTTGAGTGGTGTAAAAGGCTTCGCATATTATCGGTCATAGGAAAAACGATAACAGGACGCGCAATCTTTCGTGTATGTATATGATTAATTTACCTTATGTGAAAGAGCGTCGTTGCCCTAAATATCACCGCAATCTTCCCTACGAGGGCGGATCTGGGTGGGATAAATACACACGAGAACGAAAAACGAAAACACCCTCCTTGAAAGCTTGGGTCTCAACTAATATCACTTGTGAGGATCAACTGAGATTTTTTAGAAAAGGGCTGACTGATAACTGAGCATGTGGGTGGTTGAAGGGTCAGCTTAGAATAAATAAAGAGTAAGGGGTTGGTGGAAGAACGGAGAGTGCAGGAGAAGCATGTGTGGATCTAGTAGGGTTGAATGTAGGTATACCGAACAAACCTCAGTCATGAATGTTTGTAAACTGGGCGCCCTATGTACTGATGACATGCAACCTGTTACAACTAATGCGAGATGCGGCGAATAAGCGGTAAAAATTTGGAGTTCGCTTTGTTGGGAATAGTGTGGATATAACCGGAAACCGAATTAAGAAAGTTGTTGGTAAACAGAAAAGTTTTTTTTGGAGGGTGGGATTCAACATCCTTTGGCACGCTGCGAGTTTGGTAATCAGGTCATCAAATCACAGCAAAACAAAAGCCTTCGGGACATCAAGGTATGTCAGTTCGGTTTCACCAAGCCAGTCCAGAGCAGATAACCATACGTTACACATAAGCAGCCTGCAGGTCCATGTGAGTGATCTCCCGCGAGGTTGTTTTCCAGATCACACAGTTTGGGTATAATCATTGGAGTTGGGAACAAGAGGACAGGAGAGGAGACAACAGAAATCCCGAAAGCCGTGTTTTCAAGATTCCAGAAGCATGAACTTCCAGCAAGTATACAGTCCAGAGATTGCGTGGAATAGCAGCTCCGGTTGGGTGAAGAGATAGGCGTGGATTCCAGCGCTTATCTATTCGCTTTTCCTAGCTAGACGCTTGATTGAACCCTTTCAGGTACAGATTTTCGGGTTTGGAAAGAAAGGTATTTTGTTTGTCGTTTTAATTTCAGATTCCCTAAAGATTCTTCTTACCTCATTTGTGCGACAGAAACAACCCATCAACTTGGATGGGACCCTATCGCACCTCAAGTGTTTTATGCTAATGATGTCCGCCGGACAGAATTACCGGGCGAACTTACCTCAACTAGTTTGTGCTACCCAGTGAATAATTGGGATTGGATTTACTGTGCAATACCTGATAACAGCAGAGGTCAATGACATGCGCATTCTTATCACTAGCGAACACTTAAGAGTTCGTTTGTCATAGAAGACACCGCTGACATGAGTATTTAAGGTAACCGGCTCTTCTATAGATCTAGTAGCAGTTTTGAAGATCCGAACCATAAGGCGGCCATTTTGTAGGATGTTCTTGTGACTTATGGATTAAATAGAAAAGGAAAACATGTGATCAGAGCTACGGTGCATCAACATAAGTTGGCTTCACTAACAGGACGAAATCTCCACCGACATCAAAGTTGATCGAGATGAACATTGGTTGGATTTTTTTTGATAGATGAATATATGAATTAATGTCATAGTAAAGGGGTTCGAATTCGAGATATTTTTGGAAAGGAGGTGAAGAAGAATTCGGTTGTTGGTCATCAGGCACCTCCCGGTTGTTCTCAACACTGCTGCTTTCGCGAAAAATTCGCCTAAAGAGCGAATATTTTTGCTCTGTGTATCGATTCCTCTTGGGCTCTTCTCCCTAGTGAATATCAACGGCGAATTCGTTTTATAACCGGACTCCACCGCATAAGTAGTATCGGCCGTTTCAGTGTACACAGCACCGCTTGGCTTGCTTATTTGGCGTACACTGATGTAGGGGTGACAACCCCAAAGGTGAACAAGTTAGGGGACTGTGGGGTAGAGTCAGAGCCAGTGAACGCTATGTGATTGGAAGTGGGGCGGCAACGAGAGAGGGGACCTGTGGGGGTCCAGAATGGTTAGGTGTCGATGAATCAACCGAATCATTGAGCGGGAAGTTCCTCGTGTCGTATGTGGCTGAACGCGTTTGAAAATTAAGCCAAACCAGTTCAATTCTACAAAAGGGTGAAGCAAACAACCAGACGTAAGCAACATGCCAACAGGTCATCTGTGGACCGTTGAAACCCAAAGCCCTCCTGATGGTTACTCAGGGAGAAGTTTGTTCAAAATCCCTCCGGAGCTGTTTGACTCCGAAACCTTAGACAAGGTAGGGGTGGTTAAAAAGAGTAGGGAGAAGATTCATGCTTTGAAATAGATTGGGATTCAGATAGTGGGATACAGTCTGGAGCGGAATATTTTGATTTTCCAAGGAAAATGAGGAGACAGCGAACGCTCCTTTTCATAGTGGTGACAATTGAATGTGCGCTGAGAGGTGAACTAGGCTAAATGCAGAGTTATGTATAGTTGAAACGAAAATCCGAACAGCTTTCGGCTTTTCCCTTGCGATCAAACACGTCGAAGTGGAAGTGAAAGACCTACTTCTAATCACGCAGCCGCGATGTGTGTTTGAAGAGGGTTACTTTAACCAGCGACTTTGCAATCGATACTCAGCGCACCGCGCGGTGACACGTGACCAAAATATTCAGGGAGGGAAGGTTTCGATGACTTACAGATATCAAAGAGGACTAGCAGTGGAAACAGTAGCATTGTCGGAGAAATTTGAAGCAACATCTGGAATGTAAACCTAAAAATGAGAAGCGATTATTTGATGCATATAATCCCAGTTGGCGGAAGGGTAATACCAGTAGATTTGACGAGACTGAGGGGACGTACAGGCCTGCCAGAAAGCGTTTCCGGACTTTTTACAGATTTTTATCTATTTGCATTCAGCGACTTTCTTAGCCTCATCGGAATTTGTACTTTGCAGTTTTCAAAAAGGAGGCAAGATAGCTCAGTGGTTAGAGCATTTACTGACTTATTTGATGCATATAATCCCAGTTGGCGGAAGGGTAATACCAGTAGATTTGACGAGACTGAGGGGACGTACAGGCCTGCCAGAAAGCGTTTCCGGACTTTTTACAGATTTTTATCTATTTGCATTCAGCGACTTTCTTAGCCTCATCGGAATTTGTACTTTGCAGTTTTCAAAAAGGAGGCAAGATAGCTCAGTGGTTAGAGCGTGCATTTACTGACCGAAAGGCCCGTGGGTAGAACCCAACCTCTGCCTCTCTACTCCTCCTGTCTAGGCTTGAACATCCTGGCAGTATCTCAGCCCTCGTGCTTCCTTTAAAGCGTTCAGCTGTAGCACCCTTCCGGTGCCTAGCTGCCATGCCACCCGAAGGAAGCACGAGGGCTGGGATACTGCCAGGTTGCCCAAGCCTAGACAGGGGAAGTTGAGAGGCGGAGGTCGGATTCGAACCACGGACCTTCCGGTCAGTAAATTCGCGATCCAACCACTTGGGCCATCTCGCCCCCTTACTTTGGGTGGCATGGAAGCTAGGTACCGAAAGTGTTACAGCTGGACGATTATTATCTTATATTACTGTTAGGAGAAGTGGGAAATAAGGTGAGGATGTGCTTGCAGGTTGTCACGTAAGATAGGGACAGGGACGTCGATGGGACGTTTAGTTTTTCATTGAAGTGGTTCACGGAGAGATATGTAAGGAAATTCAAGCTGTGGCGACATATTTGCATGTTGGAAGCAGAAAGCCCATCATCCTAAATGCACGCATTATGAGGACTGATGTGTGAGGAGCCCTTTTGTGAGGAATCAGTAGGTGAAAAGTGAGCAATGAACTACTGGGTCCCTTGGGAAAGTTTGCATCAGGAGTAGAATGACAGTAATGATGGTCGCATTATGGAACCCAGGGGGCGAACATTCCTAAACTTCTCGATATTCTGGTTGACTGCACGATTGTGGAAGCTTCAGCAGTTGATCTTACCAATGTGAGTCTTAGTGCTTCTTGAATTGTTCAGAGAATGCACGCTACGGAGCATCATCATCATCAACGACAGCATGACATCAGTGCTCAACACCAATGCTTCACTGCCGTACAGCCATGACTTATTTGAAAGCCTTATTGTAAAGAAAAGAATAAAGGTGGATGGGGGAGGGACTTAGTGCTAGCTTAACACAATCATTCCGAGGTGCCTACACCTCCAGAAATTCACTCAGGCAATCTGGACAGAAACTGACAACAAGAACACCACTGACATCGGTTGGCAGCCATAACTTGTAGTGTCTCCAACCAGGCACAGCGAGGATCACGCGGTCCCCATCCTGGAAGAAGAAATCATGCCATCGACCGGGTCGCCTTAATCCCCGAATGCAGCAGGATGGGGAAACGAAATCAGACAGTAACTTGGTTCTGACACCATAGCCTGTTTTAGTGGCGCGCTCGCCCAGTCGTATAATAGCACTTCGTACTTTGAGGGTGAGAGACGCAATTCGAAACGCATGGTAACATCACTTAGGTTATTTGGTGTGTTTCTTATCTGAATGGAAACTGAAAGAAGTAGCGCAACATTGGCCAAATATTCAATGAATTTAAGGGCTTCCCAGGAAAGAAGGTCCAAAATTAGGGTGAAAGACAACAAAAGTTTCTCACTTAATTAATCCACTATTAGGTTATGGAGAAAAGGTGACAAACAGTAAGCCTGAAGGGCACCACTTTTGGTCATGTTGGGAGAGTATTCCCAGCAGACCTTAACGCGCCCGCAGGTATATAGTATGATGGTTGGAGGACTGTGAAGAAAATGCGTGGCACACCATTGAAAGATAGACATCCCCACAAAGCAGCGCGACCGAGCCGGACATTACGTTCAGACATGAGAACAACAATTATTGTTTTTCTGTGTGACGATGCTCCAGCAGTTGTCGTGAGGTAGAGATATGGTAAATGCAGCCACGACCCGAACGGAACTCTGCTTGGTTTTCACGGCTCTCCTCACAAAGGTGCTGGTATTCCTGCGTGGGATCATATCTGTGGGCAACTTGGAAGCGATCATGATCAAACGGGCACTCTGATAATTGGCTGATATTCAGATATAACATCTATTTTGAAGACAGGAACGACATCAAATATCTGCTATTCCTTTGGCACTTCCTGTCTTACAAATGGTGTGCACAGGTGATTTCGAGCTGAGTAATTCTCCGTCCTTAGACAAAGCGGAGAAAGACAGTAAAAACCTTATCCCTTCATCTTCTGTTACGACCGAGCCAATAAAGTCCCATTGTGACCTTTGACCTTTATCTTGGAGATATGTATCACTGAGGGATTAAACTTGAATCGGGTCGTGGCCTGGTTCACAACCAAACGCTAAACTCTGCACTCCCGATTTCGAAAAAGTCTGTATTTTGCAGCCTGGCTTATTGTGGCTCCAGTGACAATTTTTTCACGACCTATCCTTAGCAACACTGGATGTCCTACAGATGAATGGTCTCCTCATCGGAGCGGAAAAA